CATCTCTGCTGTAGCATGTTTTATAATTGAAGCACCATTCTTCTATATAAGGCATGCAATGGGAAGACGGCTATGTTAGAATCTGAAGGGTTACAAACCAGGTCTTTGCAAACGATCCAAACGCCAAGAGATAATAAACCAACTCCATTTTTCATAGATACTGCTCCAGCACAAAGAAACCAACTCCCACTGATAATAAGCAGATTCCAATGGTCAAAGAACTAGTCCGCTCCAGTCCAGCAAAAGAATGTCAACTCCATTCTAAGAAGCGTGTGCGTACCCTCGCATCATGAAATTTTATAGCATTCTGATAATATTTTCTACATGTTTCTTATCCATCTCTCTTTTAGAAAATAAGGTTAAATGATAGAAGACTTCCTCCATTGGGATTGTATTCGAGGAAAATATCTTGCGGGAATTCTCTGTGCTCCAATGCTGATATAAGTACCTTTTGTATGTCACTCTATTTTTACATCGGCATGTATTTTGTTAATCAGCGTGAATCCAACATTTATCTGATCTAAAATTAGTTGTAGCAAAATGTTAAAGGCGCCAATGTTGATTTTTGTAAAGAAAACTGCTTGGTAGTTTTGCATATTGAGCTGCGTGAGTGTACTTTCTCATATCATGCACATTACTGAATTGTAGTGCTGCTCTGGTTGCCCATTCATTCATTGTGTCAATGTTACTTTTGTATTACCTTACCTGGTTGATGATAGCTGTGCCATATTGTGTTAATTTGGGGTAGGCTAGTTGCCCAAATGTTCGTTGTGTCAATGTTGCTTTCCTATTATCTGACTTGGCCAATGATAGCAATGCTAGTGTGTTAACTTGGTTCAGGCTGCTGAAGATAAGAAGACAAACTCTGAAAACAGCAAGGCAACCCCATTGTTTCTTTCCAATAAATCTAGGCCAGGTAATATGGCAATAACTCATGATTAATCTGTTTGGTTCCCCTCCTAATTTATGTTATGATGCAGTGGTCGAGACACTCTCCACTATCAATAATACAAGCCTACCAAAATCGCCATCTGAATCTGTTCAGTATCCTCTGTCTCGAATACAACGAAAAAAATGTATGTTTGTGAACCAATTAATGGCTGAAGCAATGATGGAAATGGTGGAGGAATCAGAGGTGCAGATTCGTGCGCAACAACAACTGATCAATGTTTTCAGAGACAGTGTAGCAAAGCAGCAAGAACTTGCCCACATGCTTATGGGCGTCATCCATGCTGAGGTTGCAGATTGTGACATTGTAGATCGTTAGGTTCTGTTCATTTATTTGCATTGGCATCAATCTTTGATTGCCCAGTGGATGTAATTTCCTGTAATATATGTTGGATGTGCAACGTTTTCCCTGTATGCCATACCTTTGCTTGATCGGTTTTGGTCCTGTGCATAATTGCTCGTCGTAATGGGCTCAAATTATCAAATTTGTCCTAAAGACATGTAAGAACTTTAGTGGGCCCATTAAGTTAATGGGTCATTACCAGGCCAAAAGTTAATGGTCGGCCCTCTTACCTCCCGGGTCATTAACAGGCCGACATCAAGCGGCAACAAGTGGGACCATTTGATTTCACAGGCCGTTAACATGCCATTACTAAGTTCGGACTACATATGGCCCAACTATACTCTGGGCCTTTAGCAGGCCAAAAGAGACAGCGGGCTTGTACTGGACCATGAAGAGCATGGGCCGCTAAGAGGCCGAAAGTCAGATCGTATTGTAAATGGCCCAACTGTGTTGTGGGCCTTTAGCAGGCCGAAAGAGAAACCGTCCTGGTATTGGACCATGAAGGGCATGGGCCGTTAAAAGGCCAAAACTCAGGTCCGACTACAAATGGCCCAACTCATTTATGGGCCGTTAACAGGCTGAAAGACACACAGGGTCAGGAATTGGCCCAACACTTAAATGAGCCGCTAAAAGGCCAAAACTCATGTCCAACTACAAATGGCCCAACTGATTTATGGGTCGTCAACACACTAAAAGACACACCGGGCAGGAAATTGGCCCAACACTTAAATGGGTCGCTAAAAGGCCAAAACTCAGGTCCGACTACAAATGGCCCAACTGATTTATGGGTCGTCAACGGGCTGAAAGACACACCGGGCCGGAAATTAGCTCAACACTTAAATGGGTCGCTAAAAGGCCGAAAGATGTACATCCTGAAAATTGGCCCATCCCTTGAATGGGCCGTTAATAGGCCAAATATATAGTAACGGGCTCGAACCGACGATGGGCTGCAATGGTCTCAAATCTTTAACGGGCCGTTGACGGGCCGAATTGGCACATCTCGTATGGGTCGTGGGCTTAAATGGACCTGAAACAAGTAGGCCTTATATGGGCCGGTCTGCTAGTTTTTACTGGGCTGACCTTTTTCACCGGAATGGGCCACTGTTGGGCCGTGCCACGTGTTGACCTATCATAGGCGCCTCCTGTCCAATGAGTGGATGACATTTGTCCCAACGGTGAGGCAACACGTGTTTCCCCCGGCCAATGATGATTTTACACATGGAAAATCCCCATTGGTCCGGGCTGTTAACGGGTTATCGGATCCAAAACTAGACCCGATAGCTTAACGGTGTTCCGTTACGGTGGATGCCACGTGTCGGTCACCCTTGACGAAAGCAATTCTGTGACACATGATTTATCGTCATGGAAGTGGACACTTCCATGATGACAATTTTTGTAATGTCATGGAACATTCTACGACAGCACATGTATGACTATCTTGATTCTGCCATAAAATCGTCATGGATGTACATGCATGACAGAAAACGTGACCTACTGTGGCAAACACGTATCATCACGGAAGTGTATTTTTTTGTAGTGATAACCCGAGCCAGAAAACAAGAACTAGCTATCAAGTATCAATCTCCTCTTCATACAGTCCGCTAGGGGGAGGAGATCCACAATTCTAGGCCTAGTTATGACTACAAGAAGATCCAATTAACTGAATGGTAGTTTGTTGAATGGACAACCAAACATGTTTGCTAGAGTTGAAGCCTCTTCAGTCACTACATTGATAGGATTCATGGATGACCTGAGATAGTTTATGTCAAGGCCTGTAGATTGAGAAAAAAATAATCAACAAAGACAATATTTGTTGCCCATCAACATGTATGAGCAAAAGTGTATCGTGAGCATATTGCACCATGGGAATGAATAGGAAGCAAGCGAACTCTCTCCTGTAGCAGATCATTGACAACTTATCGAAGCACATCATCAGCTAGAACAAACGACAAAGGGGGGAGAGCCCCCCTACCAAACCCCTATTTTGCATCTAAATTGCTTGCATGGGACCTCATTGAGAGAAACTGCAAAAGAACCAGAAGATAGTAGTTCCTTAACCCAACATCTCCATCTAGCATTGAACCCTTAAACTTTAAAATCTCACAGATTGCATCATGCTGAACTAAATCAAAGGGTTTCTTCAAAACCCAACTTTAAAAGAAGAATATGCCACCCTATCAAAAGGTCTAGTAAGAGAGTCCAGACAGTGTACATGACGCATAAGGGATTGCGGATCAAAACCCATTTGAATACCTCTAGCCATTCACATTCTAGCTTTCAAAGCAGACCAACAAGGCCCTGCCATTTGCTCATGATCTTAAGTAGTAGTGCCATCATCAAGTTTGAAACCAGCTTCAATGTCCCTCATGTATCTTTCAGTTGTGATTGTTTGGACAGATTTCTTAGACTTTGTAATGTTAATGTTAGTTTCAATATTCTGGTTGATAAAGTGTTTGAAGAAGGCTGATCTAGAATTGGGTTTAGAAGGAATTTGGGGGATGAACTAATTTGTTGACTCAGTTAAGCCTATGTATTTCGATGTTGAATACTCTGTATTTTTTTCTTGAGAATGCCATTTCGCACACTTTATTAGATCAAAAACCAGTTATGTTATTCACAATATCAACTAGGATACGACTAGGAGGGTCAATGCATAGGAGATTTTAAATCATAAGTAAACCTAGCAAAATTGTGCACCACTTTGTTTGCATGCGGATCGCAATAAATGAAAATACATGACCAATTCTGAAAGCTTTCTGAAAGATCAGTCAAAATTGTCATGTAAGGGCTCCTAATCTGAAGTTTGCGTCGAGCCCTTACCTAGTGATGTGCTGAGTCTTTAGTTGTTGCTCATTTGTATTTTTTGTCATTGGGATAGTCCCTCGTTGTTGCTTCTGTAATGTGTTGTGTCGCTGGTTTTGTTATTAGGTTTTGGACCCTGATAAGTGTCACACCTGTGACAAGAACACATGACAACTCCGAACATTTTTTATGACAAGTTTAGTGAGATAAGGATGACAGCTTTAGTTGTCAAGCATGGCAACATACTTCCACATGCCAAGATATAGTTTTTTTGGGGGTTATTTTTTGTGTTCGGATGACAAGTTTAGTTGTAAAAAAACGTCATGACCGAAGTGCTTCATGTCACACATGTGGCTCTTATCATTTAGGTAGTTTTTAGTATTCGTCCGCGTCTAGGTTTGATATATTGCTCTTTGCCTAGGTCTCTAGTTCTTCTGAACTGGACCGCACCCGTGGGGATGACATTTTGTGTTATTAATTTTTTTCTGATTGATATAGTTCTTGGATTCTGAAAAACATGCTTGTAATAGGATTTCTGGTTGTAATATGGTAAATAATCTCCCAGAAGCAGCATATACTTTCTCAAGCATAGCGTTATTGTGCAACCAACAATTACTTACGGGGTACAGTAGATGCAAACGCACTACCCCTCTTAAACCCTAACAGGCCCAACCTTAAACCACATGAAATTACTAGAAACCCGTGAGGCACACATGATATTACACAAACAAGAAAGAAAAACACAAGATCTTGCACACCGATGGAGACAGCACGCTCACTAGGCTACAAAATAATTAAATCACCAGCATGCAGGTCCGACACCAACGGACAGGCAACAGTGGCGCAGGCCGCAGCGGCTGGTCCGGCCTCGGTTCCCAGCTACCGGCAGAGGGATAATCAATCCGTCTCAAGCCGCGGTGCACTGCTCGCGGGCGAAGCCGACGCGTCCGTTCGGCACGTCGAACAGGATGCGGTGGTTCTGCTGCTGCATGCTCGCGATGACGTTGAGCACCGTGTTCACGCCGTCGGGCGCCGCCGCCATGGCCAGGCAGCTTGTGGTGCCGTACGTGCTGTGGATCACCAGGTTGTCCGCGGGCAGCGTCACCTGCATGCCGGTGAACATGAACGTGACCGGCGGCCACTTCACCGTCGTGTTGTAGCACGTGTCGAACCCGCCGAGGGAGGAGAGCGGGGCGCCGCGGATGCGGTGGCGGACCTCGTCGCGCACCGCCACGTACGCCGGCGCCACCAGCCGGGTGAACATCGTGCCGGAGTCGAGCACCGTGCCGGCGCCGGTCGCCGGGTCGAACGCCAGCGCGGAGGGCGGGATCGGCACCACCTTCTTGCCCACGCGGATGCCGGTCATGCCCACGTAGTAGAGCGAGGACCTGTGCGGGTTCACGAGCAGCGGCGTCGTCTTGATGCGCAGCGGCTGGCCCTTGCGGCCGAGCCTGAGCGTGCCGGAGAAGTTCAGGGACTTGAAGCTCGGGAGGCAGTAGGAGAAGGTGCCCTCGTACATGTCCTTGGTCTGGGACAGGAACGACAGCGGCCCGCGGCCGAGCCCGAGGAGGCCCTGCGGCGGCGCCGCCGTGCCGGTGGCCTTCTGGAGGCAGCCGAAGGTGTAGCTCTTCACGACGTCGTTGGCGACGGCGAGGGAGTCCTCGGACAGCGCGGCCTCGAGCGAGGAGTCGGCGTAGGTGAGGCTGAACCCGCAGGACTTGCTGTTGAGCGAGCAGGACGGGTTCGGCGTCCGCGAGCACGCCGGCGAGCCGCACGGCACGGCGCGGTACGACTTAGACGCGGCTGGCTTGAACGGGGTGGTCGTCGGGCAGCCCGCGCAGCCGGAGCAGGGGATCCACGCGGCGTCGTTGCTGGTGTCGACGGCGAGGAGGAGCTGCTGCGGCGGGGTGCCGAGGCGCGCGCGCACCACATACGTCGGCGTCTGCAGCAGCTGCCGCCCGGACGCGATCGGTGCGTACGCGCGCCCGGCCACGGCGAGAGAGTCAAGGTACAGCAGCCGCGACGCGTCCCGGGAGGACTGGTCCGCGAGGAAGCCCGCCCACGACGGCGCTGCGGCCGCGCCTCCCAGCGGCGAGCACGGCCCGAACGCGTGCGACACCTGGAGCGTCGCCCCGGTGTCCGGCGGCGTCGCCGGGCACGACGCCTCCGCCCCCGCTGCGCCGGCCGCAGCTAGAAGCGCCACCAACACCGACAAAACGACCCCGCGGAGTAGCCTACCCGCCATTTTCGCCGTACCGATCGAGCTAGCCTTGAAGCGTGGCGGTGAGGTGCAGTGCAGAATGTGTAGCACCGAACGGTGGATATATAGCGCGAATGGGCAGCGGGGACGCGCGGAAGCTACACTACACGGCCAGCGCCCGTGCCGTGGCCAATGGCGCGCCCGTGAGGTTTCGCGCTGGACGCATTCGCGGGTGGCCATGCTCTCCTCTCACTCACGACCGGACCCAGTACGATACCACTACTCGCTGCAGCGTGCGCCTGCGGCAGCTCGTGATCTCAGTGTGCGGCCCCGGCCAATGGGCGCGGCCCACGCACGCCAGGCGCGTTGAATTCCGTGCGCGCCCACTGCCGACGAGCCCTGTGTCTTGGCCTGCTCGTCGCAGGGGAGGCTTGGCTCTGCATGGCGGTGCCCACGGGGGCGACGTACGGCCCCCATGGACATGGACCGAGAGCCTCGAATATCCGAGCGAGACGATGCCACTGGCCAGTGGGTGTCGGTGCGCGTCGCCATGAGCCCATGAGCTCTTAGACCCGGTGTACGTGCCGCTTGCTTACGAAGGAGATGATTTGCACTATGGAGACTGTGCACGCACACGTGATATCCTCTTCCGTACGCAGGAGTTGCCGATCGAATAAGAATAGGATTGCGCGCGCGGTAACAGCCTCGATTGGCGACAGGACTGGTGGATTCTCTTCCTGCCACGACTCACGAGAGTTCACCAAGGAGTTCACCGGCATCACCACGCGTGCAGGGCAAGAGCATGTGACGAGAGCGGATGTATGAGCTGTGACTCGCGAGCTCTATCGTGTTGTTGGGCTCGGGGCAAGGGCGCGCCATGTCTGCTTGTGGTTGTTCCGGGCATCGCCAGGCATGCTCTCGGCGCCCGTCGTGTCCCTAGCGTGTAAATGTATGCACGCCATGGTCCTTACTGTGTGCACCACCACCAGATCGAATCAATCGATGGATCGATCGATCGGGTGCCCACCAGGGAATGGAGAGAGCTGGCAAAGGCATGAATGGCTGCGCGCCCCACGCCATGACATAACAGCAATTCCTGACACAAGGTAGCCTCCTAGACGCTAAATTCCTAATAATTCCCTTGCATCGGAATGTAGTGTTTCTTCTCAGCACCATGTTCGAGCGGAGGTTGGTCGGCAGAGGCTGGCTGGTCTAGCTTACGATCGACTAGTCGAGTACAGTGCGTGCTAACCAGCGGGCACACGCAATGCTAAGGGCATGTACAATGGTTGATAAGATAGTCTTATCTTAAGTTTTGCATGTAAATTAGAGATGACAAGAAAACATGTCTACAATGGGTCATCTCTTAGCCTTATCTTCAATAATTAGTTGTTCCTAAAAATATGATGAGACAAATTGTGCTAAGAGATCATCTCTTGTCTTCTCTTAAATAAGATAAGACAAGCCTTCTTTTATGATTTCTCTTTCCTCCACCTCATCATTTATCCTACGTGGCACTCTTAAGATAGAACCATTGTACATGCCCTAAATTTGGAGAAAGAAGTTGGTTACGTTTACCCGTGGTCCATGCTTGCTCACGGGCCCGTGCTCTTTTTTCAAACGATCGGAGAAATGTAATTTCTTTTTTTTTCTTTTTTTGAGGGAAAAATGTAATTACTTTTTTAATTTTTTTAGGGGTAAGGCCTAGTCTTTATTCATCATAGTCCACAACGAGTGGGATAATGTTACATCATGTGATTGCCAAACCACACATGATACCAAGTGGATAAATTAAGAGCAAATCTAGCTAAAGTATGAACTTCTATGTTACTATCTCGGCCTTAAAAAAAATAAAACTACAAGAAAAACAGTAGAGCGAGCTTTGATCTCGCTTATGATTGCTCTGTGTTTGCCATGAGAACCTTGAATAATATCCCGAACTATTTGTTTTGCATCTGACGCTACCACAAACTGATGTAGCAGGAGGTCTTCGGCTGCACAAAGTGCTTCCCTGCACGCCATCGCTTCAAGTATGAATGGATCATCAACTCCTTGCACCACCAGTGCGGTAATGCCCAAATAATTTTCACCATCATCCCTACATACCGCAGCTACAAGACCACCTCGTCCTGCTCTTACTGTCACATCAACATGGAGTTTTGCATGGTTGGTAGGAGGAGCTCGTTGGCGAGTGCGCACATTCCTGCCCACGTTTGCGCGTGGAGCAGTAGCCGATTTACCGTCCTTTATAATCTCCAGCTCGCCAATAAACCTCGTGGTGAATGAAAACGATGATTGTGGACTCTAAAAAATTCCCCCGAGAATGGCCTTCCTCCTTGCTGACCAGATAGTCCGTAATGTGATAGATAGCTTCACGAACTACACATGCGATAATGACTCCATCTGAGCAAACACCCAGTTTTGCATTTGGTTCCATGTTTTCCAGTTTCCACCAACGACTACCCAATCTCCTCCCCGACCAAAGCCCAAATGCACCTAGAAGTGGTACACTCCAATAACAAGTGACGCCACGAGTCCAGAGACCCACAAACACCGCAAGCCGAAGAGTTTGACATGTGTCGATGTGAACGAACATCTTCGGTTGGTAAAGATTGCTTTCAAAGCCTCCATAGAAAGACGCGTATTTTCCGTGGAGCAGTTGTTTTCCATAGTGATTTCCACTCCTTCTCCTCACCTCTAGTGCCCGAGGCGCCAGCGGAACCATCCAACCATACCTTCCCGCGCTATCTCGTAGCCACGAGCATATTATATGCCGATTTGATAGAAAATAGTCCATTTTTTCCAAAGTGCCAACACCAAAAATCAGTGATATTGCAGGTGCATAGGGGTATACTAGCGATAACTTTGACATCAAATGGCAAGAAGATCTCCTGACCCCGGCACATGTCCCATATTGTTGTGGATGGGTCAATAATCTCGGACACGTACCTAGGTGGGTTCGCCACCATGCATCGATATGGGTGGACAATCTCATCCCTCGGTAACCAATTTTCTGTCTGTATTCTTGTGTTCTCTCCATTGCCAATTCTCTTTATTATACCTTGTTTGAGGTTATCTCGACCTTCCATTATAGCTCTCCATATTTGGCTCGGGTGGGATCCCAAACTAGCATCAAGAATTGATGAATCTGGATGGTAAACATTTCTCAATATGCGAGCACTCATCGCGAAGTCTCAGTCGACTGAGTTTTAGCAGCACCGGTTTGTCTACGTCTCAGTCAACTGAGACTTCGCGAAGTCTCAGTCGACCGATGACGTCAGCATATGTACAGCCGAGGCTTCTTTCTTTTGTCTAAAACTGTTTATGTGTTCGTTTCCGTGATGGGCTGCCCTGGTCTTCTACTGGGCTTTTGTCTGACCTTTTCACCTGTGCATCGTTACGCAGTTGCTGGATTTTTTTTTCTCTTGCTTGTACACTGGATGTACCACTGGCCGTGTAAGTCTATTTTGCTAACTAGCTTCAGCCTCGACAAATGCTGCAGCTTTCTTGTGTTCAAAATTCTTGTATTTTTTTTTTGTTCACCGAAAAATCCTTGTATATGCTCTGTTTGTAGTTGGGTGTGACCGTGTGAGCTATGGACAAGCTACTTATGGTGATTTTATATTGGAGGGAAAAAATACAAGTATTTGAATACAAATAAATAAAAAATATTTTTTGCACACATATACCATAATGCAATTACGTGCAACCAGCGGGTGTGCAAACAGTGATACAGTAAAATAAGAAAGAAAGATACAAAATAATAAATTACACACATATGAGAACACCACACACGTCTAATCATTCTACAACGTTTTTTTTTTGAAACGAAGGCAAAAGCTTTGCCCCATCCATTAATTAAGAAGGAAACGGACAAGTGTTTGCAACACATTCTACAACGTTAAGTTTGCACGCCGAGTCGGATTGGAACTAGATTGCACAATTTGTAATAAGAATAATAATACACCCTATGTAGGAAAGAAAGAAAAATTTTCAAAACCAAACACAAAAATAAAAAGGAAAAAAGGGAAAAAATAGACAATTGAAGTTGCGGTCGCATTGAAGCACATGGAATTGCATTGGGGGAGGGGGCGCATTGGAGCACGATACTTGCAGTTCCGTCCTTAGTGGTAGACATGCAACTGCCCCTCCCCTTGATAAAACACCACAGAGTTGCAGTCGGGGGTGACACTTACAGTCGCATGCCTAGTGACAAACATGCAACTACTCCTCGCGACAAAACACCACATAGTTGATGTCGCCGCCAACACCTTGCGATTGCATGCCTAGTGGCACACATGCAACTGCCCCGCCCCCTTGACTAAACACCACAAAGCTGCAACCGTGTTGAAGACATGCAGTTTGTAGTCGGGGACGATACTTGCAGTCGCATGCATAGTCGCGGACATGCAAATTGCTTCTCCTCCGTCCGACAAAACACCACTGAGTTTGAACCACGTGGAAGACATGTAGTTCCATTTGACGCCGACACTTACAGTTGCGCAACTAGTGACAAACATGCAACTAACCCCTCATCTGACAAAAAAATATGGAGTTGCAGTCGCGTTGATGACATGCAGTTGCATTTAGGGGGCGACACTTGCAGTTGTGTGTCTAGTGGTGGACATGCAATTGCCTCTCCTCCGCCCAACAAAACACCACTGAGTTGCAACCGCGTGGAAGGCATGCAGTTGCAGCTGAGGGCAGCACTTGCAGTTGTGTGCCTAGTGGCCGACATGCAATTATCCCTCCCCCACATAAAACACCGCAGAGTTGCAGTCGGGGAAAACAAATGCAGTTGCGTGCCTGATGAAGTCATGTACCCAGGGTAGGGTCACGGACCTGTCTAAGGTACCCTCCCCGAGGACATCTTTAGATGAAGCCATCTACCAGTCGACCTAGAGGGACTCCACTCGACTGGCTGGAAGACACTCGACGAACTTGAAGACACTCGACCATGTAGACTCACTCGACCACCAGGAGTTTCCAAACGGTCTGTAATTAAGTAGTCTTTCTGGTCATGATGACACTTTATGTAAGGCGTTACCAGTAACGCCAGGCCTTAATGTACTTTAACCCTCCGCTACGTGGGCTGGCTGGGGTCTTGGCATCCTCTATATAAGCCACCCCCTCCACTGGCAGAAGGGTTCGCACCCCTATAACTCTCACACATATAATCCAGTTGACCGCCTCCGGGCTCCGAGACGTAGGGCTGTTACTTCTTCCGAGAAGGGCCTGAA